GGCGTGTCCTCGACTCACAACAGGAGCTTATCCCACACACAGCTGGGCTGCGAAGAGATCCTGTCTCTCACTGGAGGGGATGGGAGAACAAAAATCTGCCTGGTTACCGAGATCACCCTAGATCTGGTGACTCTGTTCTGTGCCTATAGCTAGAAATGTTTTAAAGCACTTCATAGTAATTATATCAAAGTGGGCAAAATAAAATCCAGTAACTAGTATTTATGGCCTCAAATTTGTTGCTTTTTTCTTGTGTTGACCTTACCATTCCTACTGTCTTCTAGATGTTTCAAAACCATAGCAAATCCTGGAAATCTTTGAATTGTCCTTGCTCGGTCTGGTATCCAGTCTGGAGATGTTTTGGACTCTACCTCTTATTGGCTCCAGCCGACATGGCCAAAGATCAGGAATGATGGGAATTGTAGTTCAAACATGGGGGGAGAGAACACCAGATTGAGGAAGGCTGCTTTAAACAGACAACCTATACACCTCTACATCGTTGACGTTACCAGTAAAAGTAAATTCACATGTTTTATATTTATCTTTAGGGCTGACTATAAGAGCTAGGCTAGATCAGTTCAAGAGATCCTGCACCATGTTTTTCACAGTGGTAAGCCAAGGGCTTATAAGCAGAATTTCAAGGCAAAAAACTTCCTCCATTTCTTGTCCCTCAATTTCTAGTGTTCAGAGGCTTACTGCCTTTTGGCGCAGAACTGTGTTGTAGCTATCACTATTTAATAGCATGGATGGTCAAATATGTATAGGGGAGATCTGACTATCATAAAACCATTTGCCATCACTGTAGCCTATGACAGTCATTTTTCATAAGTTGACTATGTGTTGTGAGGAATAATTCCCTTAGGGTTTTTTTTCTGGAAAGGGTTTTTTTCCCCTGAATTTAGGCGCCAGTCACTTCATTGGGGGACCAGGGTTCTAAAAGAAAGAGAAAAATCCCTTCTGCGTACCCTTCTTAATATTATAAGACCTGTTTCCCTTCACTCTGAAGTAATTTTTCTAAACTAAAAAGGTGATGGTGTACCCATTACAGGAAGCTGCAACCCATTTGTGCCTCATTTTTTAAAAAATAAGGTTTTTTGTGTTACATAGCAAACAGATAAACAAGGAGCAGTACATCTGTTGTCTCCACTTTCAATTGTGCTTCATTTTTTAAAGACCTCAGTACTTAGGGTGTGCCAGAGGAGTGTGGTTAAATAAATCATATCAGTTTAAGAAATAAAATGCAGCATAAGAGGACCATAAAGCAACAGTGACATTTAAAAATGTATCAAAGGCACAATGGGATACGTTTTTGCTGCCTTCCTAAATTTCAAGAGGGGGGGGGAGCCTCTTTGGGGAAGGTGTTTCTCACAATCTGGCTGCTCTTCTGAGAAGTCTTGCTCTCTTGACCCTGCCAAGCACACCTCCCAAGGTGGTGAGAAACAGAGCAAGACCTTAGATGTTGACAGTAGAGCATGAGCAGGTTCATGCAAGGAGGGAGGGCGGTCATTTAGATCATCTGCTCCCAAGCCATTTAGGGCTTAATGAGTAATAAAAAGCTTTGCCTTGTTCAAATTATAGAAAACATATGCCAATTAAAGAAATGGCTTAAGTGCATGATAGTGAAAAGTGTAATCTCCTGGCTAATCCTTGTCACTGTTCTGGAGACTCCCCACCCCCACCCCCTGCACTTCCAGGACTTTATGCTATAATAATAATAATAATAAATTTTCTTTATATCCCGCCCTCCCCAGCCGAAGCCGGGCTCAGGGCGGCTAACAACACTAAAATAGTGCAACATTATAAAAACATTATAAAAATTAATTTAAATCAAAATTGATGGCAACCATAAACTTAAGTTTTGTAAAGATTGCCAAAGGAGGGAGTCAGGCTGCGCCCTGACCAAAGGCCTGGTGGAACAGCTCTGTCTTGCAGGCCCTGCGGAAAGATGTCAAGTCCTGCAGGGCCCTTGTCTCTTGTGACAGAGCATTCCACCAGGTTGGAACCGCAGCCGAAAAAGCCCTGGCTCTAGTTGAGGCCAGCCTAACCTCTCTGTGGCCTGGGACCTTCAAGATGTTTTTATTTGAAGACCGTAAGTTCCTCTGTGGGGCATACCAGGAGAGGCGGTCCCGTAGGTACGAGGGTCCTAGGCCGTATAGGGCTTTGAAGGTTAAAACCAGCACCTTAAACCTGATCCTGTACTCCACCGGGAGCCAGTGCAGCTGGTATAGCACCGGATGAATGTGATCCTGCAGCGAAGACCCCGTAAGGAGTCTCACCACGGCATTCTGCACCCGCTGGTGCAGTTTCCTGCTAGATGTATTGCAAGCTGGTGTCTCTTTAAACAGCTTTCTGCAATTTTCTTGGATTCTTTTCTCCAAATGAAGCAGCATTAGAGAACTGGAATAGACTCAATGTTTGTTCTCTCCGGGGGGGGGGGGGAGAGAATCTTTTCCAACTTGCAGATTATATTTTCTAATTCCTTTTCAGTTGACAGCCTACAGTTTGCCAGTTGGCAAATCTCAACTTCAATTTCCTCTTACTACTTTGAAGAATTCTGGTGCTCTGTATGCAAACAACATTTTTTAGTGTCTGCCAGTGAATTGATACCGTGCTTCAAAATTAGCCGTTTTAAAAACCCATTGTGAAAATACTGTCTGGTCACTACCAGTATTTTGCAGGAAGTATCCAACTGCATACTGTAGGTTTCAGTTTGCACAATTAAAGTGGATTAAAGCACTCTGGCACAACAAATCCACGTTGTTGTTGTTGTTGTTGTTGTTGTTGTTTGTCTAAAACAGAGACTTTTGCAGTTAGGAAAGTAACAGGGACATGTGCTGAAAAGAGTTGGATAACAATCATATGCCCTCTCTGCTAACAAACCTGAAAGAATCCTCATTGTCGTGTAGCCTCCCTGCAGACAAATCTGAATATACTCTCAATAAAGTCTGGGCTCACATAACCTCTCTGTGCAAGTTGTGTGCAAACAAATCAGGATGAATAATCAATAAACAGATAAATTGGAGGGGGCCTAAGTGTTACACATGATGTAGCATTTTAAATTTAATCGCTTCCTAGGCAGTGATATATCGCAGTCAGAATCCAAAGGGCCTCTGTGTGTCTTTTTTTCAGCCTCCCCCTTCCAGTGCATCCTTTGGCAATCTGTCCCCAAAGTCGGAAGACCTTCCAGATCCTTCTGTGAGATGTAAGCAGCTGCTGTCAGCAGAGCTGCACTCATCCAGCAGGGCTTCCCCTTCCTCTTCTCCTCGTGAGGCCTTCACACTCCCCCCCCCTCCAAAGCGGCTCTGGTGGGTCCTCTAACCATCCAGAGCAGATGCTGGGGGCAAGTGATAGGGGTGGGCTTCAGAGGGAGGCAAGAAAAGGAAGTCCCATGCCACCTTAAAGGCTAACAGATTTGTTGTGGCACAGACTTCTTGAACCTTAGATCCAAATTCATCAGATCATGAAGTTCCTTACGTTTTCTTTTTTCCAATAATTGAACCCCCGAGAGCTCTGAAAGGTAGCACTACCTTAAATTGTCTCTAAAACAGTCATATAAAGCCAACGAACCAGATAAAACATTACAGCTATGACTTCAGCACCTCAGTTAATATTCTACCACCTGCTTTTCCTCTATCCTCATCACAGAGTGTCTGCTTAATAACATGTTCATGCTGGTTCTTCCACCATAGAAATTTGACCCATCTTTTATTATGGCATCTTAATAAATGCTGACACAAAAATGGTTGTTTCATAAGGGTGTGCAACTTGTTGTTTTCCTTTATGGCCTGCTGCCCTCCATGTGATGTGGACCCTAATTCCCATCAGCTCCAGGCAAGCTAGCCAATAATCAAGGATGCTAGGAGTTGTAGTCCAAACAATTTCTGGAAGTCACCTCTTTGGTTGCCCCTGGTATACAGCTTCCATACCCACCTTTGGCCTGTTACACGAGGCAAAGTATAATTATGCAGTGAGATGTGTTGCCTTTGTTTCTGTGTAACCTTGCATTCTGTCAAGCTGTTGTGCAATTCCTTGCATTCTGGCTTTTCATCATTGTTTACTGGCGCTTTCCACTTTTAATTGCAGTATTTATCTCCATATATAGCTCAAGGAAACCATTCACCCCTGCAATTCTCTTTTTTTGTTTTAAAGAGCTGGCTGCACAAATTCCTCATCCTTTCCTTAATTCCCTTCTGTTGTAAGGAGCATGAGGACTCTGAATTACCCAGATTACCTTTTTTAACTGTAAAAGTTAATACTGTAGCATGAGTTATAGTTGCCTAATTGTAGCTTGTATTTTGGTAAGCTTACATAAACTGACAGTATTTCTAAGCTGGTGGAAAATAGCATTAAGGCAAATCTTCCTTCTCCCTAGGCTTTCACTTGCAAAGCAAGTTGAGTTCATTGCTCTCATTCTCATGCTACTATTTCAAGCTATAACCATAATGGTCGCATGTCCCCAATAAAACGAACACACCACTTCAAGCAATAAGTACACTGCCTTTGTTTTAGCTTTTATAGTGACCTTTCCATTTCTCTCTCGGCAAATGGCCTTAAATTGTTCAGTCGTTTTAAATTACCTAAGTATTTCCTTGTTTGTTTTTTTAACAAGAATGACTTAGTTCAGCAATTTTGAACTGCTCTAAATGAGCTATGCAACTCTGGATTTGAAGGCTATCATATTTACTGGGTTGCTTGAGTCAAGTCTTTAATGTAAAGGGGAGGGCAGAAGAAAGGGGTGCATGTTACCAGACGGTAAAATATATAGTGGATAAGTACCAACGAAACCATGGAACTGAACGTAGATGCCAATCTACGAAGAGTGTTCAAAGTGGTCGATTGCAGTTTGCTCTTGAATATAGGGGTCTAGATTTAATAAGATGTGAGTATGAAATCTACCCTACTATTCATGAGCAACCTTGCATGCAGATTCAGCTGAACGGGGTGGAGGACTTTAGTTGGTATAGCTTTGCCAGTCCACTGATTATCTTCAATTCTCTTTTCAGTGAAACGCTTCAGAGAACCAAAGCATGAAAGGCGTCCTTGGAGAATTTGGTAAGTGCTTTGTATTGTTCCTAGAGTGCCTTGCCTTTCCTAGATGTTCAGCTCATGGACCTTGGGCGATGCATTACAAAGGGCAGGCAGTTGCAACCTGACTACTGTGCGTCAGATTACGTTTTTTGGTTTTTTTCGGTCTATAGGAACACCAAGGCAGGGATGTCTGAGAATGTTGCACTCAATTCTGTGTCCCTTTTAAAGAAGATTGTAGTTGCGTTACAGGGTCTTCCTGTGCCAGGCAAAGCTGGGGCAAATAATATCAAACTGCAGGAGCAGCAGGTCATTTTGAAATTTAAATCAATTTAAATTTAAAACCTGTTCGCTAGAGCAAAGTACATAATCAATCTGCATTTCCCTCGACTTCCCCTCCGCTTCTTTCTGTGGTTACTTAGTGTATATCTTTTTGTTACTGTATATCCAGCTCAAGCCTATTCACTGATTTCCCCTTTGTATTCCCTTTCCCTTATTTCTTAGTGCACATGTTTATTCTTCTAATGTTTTAAGTTGTTTACATCTTCAGATAGTCTATAAATTTTCCCCATTCTGTTTTTAATAAGTCTCTCTTCTTGGTTTCTTATTCTTCCAGTAAATCCCACCATTTCTGCATACTCCCATCAATTTTAATTGCCCGTGACATCTTTCTCATACTGCAGACAAATCTTCTGAGTTTGAAAGTCAATGCCCTTAGTAGGATTTATTTAGCACTGGCTGTTTCTTCCTGCCTCTCCCAGATTAGGAACTCGCTGCCTATTGACATCAGATTGCTGAGTGTACACTTTTCAGTGCCTGCTAGAAACATTTTTGCTCAGGCCATCCTATCCAGGCAGGCAAGAGTTGGCAGGTGTTTTAGCTTACAGTTGATTTTAATTATATTTTTATTTGTCTTAAATAATGTGTTTTAAACTTGACCCTTTTGTTGACAGTTTCATTTTTTTCATTTTTGCAAATCACTTAGAGAGGTTCAATTTACAGTCAAGTGGTATATAAATTTTGCTACATAAATTAGCAGTGCAGGGGTCAAGGTGTGTGGAAACAGAAATGCAGAGAACAGTTATCCAGTATCGGAGAGGTATGGAATGGGTGCTGGCCTGCAGAGACTTAAGTGAAAAGGGAAGTTCAGCTGGCAGGAATGGGGGGAAAGGTGCAGTATATGGGAACGAGGCTTACTGGCAGAGAAGAGCAGAGCTGGCAGCTGGCGGCTTGAGGCGGTGGTGGTGCTCATGAGGGCTTTGGAGAAAACAAGACGTGGAAAGGAGGCAAATTGGGGCTGGGTAAGCCCATCAGCTCCATAATTTTGAGTGAACCCAGGCATCTGTTAGATAGGAAATTTCGCTCTCCAGCTCATTTAAGTTTGACACACGGGTCTAGAAAACAGAGGAATATATTGGAATGTCTAATAAAAAATGAAACTTGCCTGCTAATGACCCTTATGAATGAAGAGCACTTGCACTTCATTCCCTCTCACCCAGTCAAGTTATACTTGTGAATTTGATAGACTGGACTTTGCCAGGCATGCAGGAAATTTAAAAAGTGATGGGGGTTCTCATGGCTGAGGCAAAATGCAGCCCCCCCAGGACTCTTTCCGGCCCTCACTGACTCTGCTCTAATACTCTCCAGAGCTTTCCCCTTTGGAATATGTAACTATTTCACTTTGATGGAGGATGGAGGGGGGGGATTTCTAGAGAAACCTGTGACTTTTTGTGTTGCTGGGACCCAGTTCTCAAACTTGCCAGTCTCCACTTTTACCACCACCCCACCTTATTAGCATGCCACCCCCTGGAAGGTTCCCCATGAAGAAAATGCAGTATTTGGGCTGAAAAGGGTCTCTCGCCTCCAGGATAAAAAGTTCAAAACTGCTTCTGCACCCTTTGTATCTTTCTAAGAACTTGCAATTTTAGATGAGGAGATCTGTATGGTCTGTGTTTCATATGATGACCACTTTTTAAACTTCCTGTAGGTTTTTGGATACTTCCAAACAAGCCATAGGGATGTTGTTCATCCACTTTGCCAATGTGTATTTATCAGACCTTACTGAAGAGGACCCTTGTTCACTGTAAGTAGTGTGTGTGTGTGTGTGTGTGTGTGTGTGTGTGTACACACAACGCTTTATAGAACCATCCTGCGTGCTGTTTTAGAATAATAGCCAACAAGGTTTAGAAATATTGGTCCAACAGAGTTTAAATTTAGATCCTTGCCCAACAAACTAAGTTAGAAATCAATGAAGTAGGATCCTGCTTGGTCAGGCCAGCAAGTCAGATGCTTCCTAAACATCCTTGTAGTGCAGAACAGCATCAAGCTACTTCTTTCCTGCAACGCACAAGTCCCTTCAAATGATAAACCCTAACTTTGAAACGCTAATATTCCTCCAGATGGAGCAATTCTGTCAAAAAAGCTGGGAAATAGAGATCAGTCACAGCTTGATTGTTTTCCAGGACAATAGTGACCTCTGGTGGGCTCTAGTATAATAAATAGCTCAAATTTATGCATCCAGGTTGATCGATCCAAATGTCTTAATCCATCTAGCCTCTCATTCTACAGTAATGTATTCATGTAGTAGTTTTTTTAAAAAACAACACAAAAAAATCCACTTCAAACAGAACTTCTATTGACTTTTTGCTTGGGCTTTTGCGTTTGAGCATCTACATGCACATAGATTTTTAACTTAGCAATTGCTGTATGAGGAAGACTAAAGCTCAAAATGAGTGACTGGACCAAGCATATCTAGCATGCCTAATGACTAAGCAGGGATTTGAATCTGGATTGCCCTGGTCCTAGTCCAACATGGTAACCACTGTACTGCACTAGCCCTTGAGTGTGTCCCTGCATACCTATGCTCACTACTTGACCACTAAAAATGAAGAATGAAGAGTAGCATATCTTAAAATTACTGTGTGATTAAGTTGCTAGGCTTTTTGAATAGGTGACAGCACTGTCAAAGGCAAAGATCTAGGTGGTGGTGATGGCTGAGAGTCATATGGATTGGAATTTTGATTATGGCACCTGCATAGGCCTCAGATATGTCCTATTTCTTTTGTGTATTTTTCTTATCCCTTTAGGTACCTTATCAACTTTCTGCTGGATGCCACCTTGGGAATGCTGCTAATTTACGCTGGTGTGCGGGCAGTAAACAGCATTGTTGAATGGCAGCAGTGGGAGTCCCTTCGCTTTGGTGAATATGGTAAAGATTTTGATGCCTTAGAAAGGAATTCTTTTGGAGCTGAGCTGCTTTAATAACTTACTAGACGGGCAATTTTAATGTATTTGGCATATCCGCACCTGCAACTGTATAGCATGTTTCTTTTCCAAAGGTGCAGATATTTGATTGCTATACATTGCCAGATGCAAGCTGGAGTGAATCTCCTAACAAAGCAGTAATGTTTCACAATCAGAAAGCAGCATATCAGCTGGCTGAGAATGATGGCTGTGGTCTGCAACAGATCTGGGTTTTTTTCCAGCTTTGAGACATAAGGACTTTAGTCTTCTGCTCTCTCAGATGACTCCACCTTTTGTCCCTTACGATTGGAACTGCCTCCCAGAATCAGATAAACATTAATGCCCCCTTCTCTTACTTCATTCAGATACCAGCTCACAACCCACCTGCTGTGTGAAGCCTTCACCCCTTAGTCCCCAGCCCCTAGTGTCATTAATACCATATAATTGAAATTGTTGTTGTTGTTTAGTCGTTTAGTCGTGTCCGACTCTTCGTGACCCCATGGACCAGAGCACGCCAGGCACTCCTGTCTTCCACCGCCTCCCGCAGTTTGGTTAGACTCATGTTTGTAGCTTCGAGAACACTATCCAACCATCTCATCCTCTGTCGTCCCCTTCTCCTTGTGCCCTCCATCTTTCCCAACATCAGGGTCTTTTCCAGGGAGTCTTCTCTTCTCATGAGGTGGCCAAAGTATTGGAGCCTCAACTTCACGATCTGTCCTTCCAGTGAGCACTCAGGTCTGATTTCCTTAAGAATGGATGCGTTTGATCTTCTTGCAGTCCATGGGACTCTCAAGAGTCTCCTCCAGCACCATAATTCAAAAGCATCAATTCTTCGGCGATCAGCCTTCTTTATGGTCCAGCTCTCACTTCCATACATCACTACTGGGAAAACCATGGCTTTAACTATACGGACCTTTGTTGGTAAGGTGATGGCTCTACTTTTTAAGATGTTGTCTAGATTTGCCATCGCCTTTCTCCCAAGGAGCAGGCGTCTTTTAATTTCGTGGCTGCTGTCACCATCTGCAGTGATCATGCTTGGCAGGGGGTTGGACTCGATGGCCCTTGTGGTCTCTTCCAACTCTATGATTCTATGATTCTATGGAGCCCAAGAAAATAAAATCTCTCACTGCGTCCATTTCTTCCCCTTCTATTTGCCAGGAGGTGATGGGACCAGTGGCCATGATCTTCGTTTTTTTGATGTTGAGCTTCAGACCAAATTTTGCGCTCTCCTCTTTCACCCTCATTAAAAGGTTCTTTAATTCCTCCTCACTTTCTGCCATCAAGGTTGTGTCATCTGCATATCTGAGGTTGTTGATATTTCTTCCGGCGATCTTAATTCCGGCTTGGGATTCATCCAGCCCAGCCTTTCGCATGATGAATTCTGCATATAAGTTAAATAAGCAGGGGGACAATATACAGCCTTGTCGTACTCCTTTCCCAATTTTGAACCAATCAGTTGTTCCATATCCAGTTCTAACTGTAGCTTCTTGTCCCACATAGAGATTTCTCAGGAGACAGATGAGGTGATCAGGCACTCCCATTTCTTTAAGAACTTGCCATAGTTTGCTGTGGTCGACACAGTCAAAGGCTTTTGCATAGTCAATGAAGCAGAAGTAGATGTCTTTCTGGAACTCTCTAGCTTTCTCTATAATCCAGCGCATGTTTGCAATTTGGTCTCTGGTTCCTCTGCCTCTTCTAAATCCAGCTTGCACTTCTGGGAGTTCTCGGTCCACATACTGCTTAAGCCTGCCTTGTAGAATTTTAAGCATAACCTTGCTAGCGTGTGAAATAAGTGCAATTGTGCGGTAGTTGGAGCATTCTTTGGCACTTCCCTTCTTTGGGATTGGGATGTAGACTGATCTTCTCCAATCTTCTGGCCACTGCTGAGTTTTCCAAATTTGCTGGCATATTGAGTGTAGCACCTTAACAGCATCATCTTTTAAAATTTTAAATAATTCAGCTGGAATATCATCACTTCCACTGGCCTTGTTATTAGCGATGCTTTCTAAGGCCCATTTGACTTCACTTTCCAGGATGTCTGGCTCAAGGTCAGCAACCACACTACCTGGGGTATACGAGACATCAATTTCTTTCTGGTATAGTTCCTCTGTGTATTCTTGCCACCTCTTCTTGATGTCTTCTGCTTCTGTTAGGTCCTTTCCACTTTTGTCTTTTATTATGGAAATCTTTGTACAAAATGTTCCTTTCATATCTCCAATTTTCTTGAACAGATCTCTGGTTCTTCCCATTCTATTGTTTTCCTCTATTTCTTTGCATTGCTCGTTTAAGAAGGCCTTCTTGTCTCTCCTTGCTATTTTTTGGAAATCTGCATTCAATTTCCTGTATCTTTCACTATCTCCCTCGCATTTTGCTTGCCTTCTCTCCCCCGCTATTTGTAAGGCCTCGTTGGACAGCCACTTTGCTTTCTTGCATTTCCTTTTCATTGGGATGGTTTTAGTTGCTGCCTCTTGTATAATGTTACGAGCCTCCATCCATAGTTCTTCAGGCACTCTGTCCACCAAATCTAAATCCTTAAACCTGTTCCTCACTTCCACTGTGTATTCATAAGGGATTTGACTTAGATTGTATCTTACCGGCCCAGTGGTTTTTCCTACTTTCTTCAGTTTAAGCTTGAATTTTGCTATAAGAAGCTGATGATCTGAGCCACAGTCAGCTCCAGGTCTTGTTTTTGCTGACTGTATAGAGCTTCTCCATCTTTGGCTGCAGAGAATATAATCAATCTGATTTTGATGCTGCCCATCTGGTGATGTCCATGTGTAGAGTCGTCTCTTGTGTTGTTGGAAAAGCGTGTTTGTGATGACCAGCTTGTTCTCTTGACAGAACTCTATTAGCCTTTGCCCTGCTTCGTTTTGAACTCCAAGGCCAAACTTGCCAGTTGTTCCTTTTATCTCTTGATTCCCTACTTTAGCATTCCAATCCCCTATTATGAGCAGAACATCCTTCTTTGGTGTCATTTCTATAAGGTCTTGTAAGTCTTCATAGAATTGGTCAATTTCAGTTTCTTCAGCACCAGTAGTTGGTGCATAAACTTGGATTACTGTGATGTTAAAAGGTCTGCCTTGGATTCGTATCGAGATCATTCTATCATTTTTGAGATTGCATCCCAGTACAGCTTTCACCACTCTTTTGTTGACTATGAGGGCCACTCCATTTCTTTTACGGGTTTCTTGTCCACAGTAGTAGATATGATAGTCATCCAAACTGAATTCGCCCATTCCCGTCCATTTTAGTTCACTGATGCCCAAGATGTCAATATTTATTCTTGCCATCTCATTTTTGACCACATCCAACTTACCCAGGTTCATGGTTCTTACATTCCAGGTTCCTATGCAATATTTTTCTTTACAGCATTGGACTTTCCTTTCGCTTCCATGCATATCCGCAACTGAGCGTCCTTTCGGCTTTGGCCCAGCCGCTTCATCAGCTCTGGATCTACTTGTACTTGTCCTCCGCTCTTCCCCAGTAGCATGTTGGACACCTTCCGACCTGAGGGGCTCATCTTCCAGCGTCATAACTTTTATATGCCTGTTGTCTTTGTCCATGGAGTTTTCTTGGCAGGGATACTGGAGTGGCTTGCCAGTTCCTGCTCCAGGTGGATCACGTTTGGTCAAAACTCTCCACTATGACCTGTCCATCTTGGGTGGCCCTGCACGGCATAGCTCATAGCTTCTCTGAGTTATTCAAGCCCCTTCGCCACGGCAAGGCAGTGATCCATGAAGGAGATAATTGAAATAGTAAATATTTTTTCTTCTGTTTTCCCCTGCATCCATTTCCCTTCCTCTGTCTCCTACGTCAAATTTTAGATTGAAAGACCTATGCTCTTGTGTTTTTGTAAAACACCACTCACGTTACGAGCATGAAATATATAATAATTTGGACCTGGAATAATACATAGTAAAGCCCTATTCACGGGTTCTCCCCCTCTGTCTCATCTCCATACCCATCTGCAGTAGGAGACTTGCTGTATCTGATAAAGCATTCTGCACAATTTAAAACTCTAAATGTACAAGAATCTAAATTCTACAGGCAGTGTCCACAAACACAAGCCAGGCTCCCTGCTGCAGGTAGGGAAGAACTACCCAGCACATCCCCATTCTTCCCCATATTGGATAAAGAAAAAGAGAAGACTTTCACAGGCTCATGTGAAGCCTCTCCCTGTCTTGGTGGAAATATTTCAGTGCTGAATCATGTCTAAATTGAATTTCTTACTAGCCACCCTCAAAGCATCCTGCATCTAGGAGGATCCTGGCAAGTCCTTCTATTCTTAACCCAATAGGGATTCTTGAGCTCATGGATGTGCTTGTCTCCTCGGGTGAAATGGCTTTGTACAGTTACTGGGTTTATCTTTGTCTCAGATTTTCCTGAGCCCAGTATTCATTTCTTCCCCCACTACATTCAGTTGGGTAGTGGATTCAGGGAGACTCCAGATGCAAAAAAAAATATATTCCACTATTATGCCAAATTGGATAACTTCCTCCTTGCAAAGAGATTTGCTCCCTGCTCATATTAGATTGAGAAATAAACATCTTTGCACTTAAGTCCTGAAAGTGTTTAGGATGCCTTGGAGATCATAAGTCAGAATTACTGAGGTTCAGCAGTGCAGTTTTGGCCAAGTTCCAAAGATGAACTTTAGGCATGCCCAGTGGGATTTCTGACTCTGCGCAGAAATCTCTTGCAATATCACAAACTGCTCTGCAAAGCAGCTTCCTCTGTTTCAAAAGTGCCAAGTGGGAAGTAGACTAAAGGAAGAGAGTATTTTAATTCATGCTTAGGATTAGGAAAATGAGCATTCTTTTCCCCCCTGAATTAACTAATGAAACACTCCTGACCTTTCTTGCATTTTCAGATTGCCTCCTATGAGCTCATTCACTTTCCTAGATGTATCATTTGATCCCTAGCGATAGCTTGATATTACTTCAGTAGGACAGACAACAACTCTGTTCT